TACCAAATTTGATGGGGGGCCATAAGTTGATGTCAACCATGTGAGAAATTTGGGTTGAAAGCATGTCCATACACAGTATAAAAATATATGGGGACAGGGATCGCCTTGTCTTATACCTCTACTAGGATTGAAGTAGGTGCTAGTGTTACCATTAACCAGAATGGAGATTCTACTAGTAGTCACACAGTTCATGATGAGTTTTAGGATCTTAGGGGGAAATTTAAAATGGCATAGAGTTCTGTAGATAAAAGCTCATTCCAAACGATCGAATGCTTTTTCAAGGTCTATTTTTTGAACCATATTTGATTTAGAGATTTTGTACTTGTTTATTCTTAAAATAAGCTCTTGAATAACAATAGCGTTATCACTAGCTCGTCTGCATTTTAGGAAACTGACTTGGTAGGGACTGATGATCTTTGCCAGGTAGGGTTTTAATCTATTCGCTATGATCTTAGTGATCCTTTATAGATAGTGTTACATAGACCTATTGGATGGAAGTTTTTAAGATTGTTGTCATTTGGAATTTTTGGAATGAGATACAAGTATGTGTCATTAATTCCAGCTAGCAGAGACCCTGATTCAAAAGCTTCATGATAAAGACTGACCACCGATTGATTAATCAAATTTCAATATTTTGGAAGAAGAAGTGGTGTAAACCATCGGAGCTAGGAGATTTATTAGGCTTGAAGGAAAAAATGACATCTCTTATTTCATGAAGGCTCATTGGATTATCTAGCGAAGATAGATCTATTATTTTGTGACTAGTAGTATCATTTTTTATATCTTTCCAGTTTGAGGTGACATGATTGGTGGTAAAAATCTCTTGAAAATATGATTTAGTGTGATCCATAATTTTTAAAGGGACATCTATCCAATTTCCCTCAGAATCTTTAAAGGAGACAATTTTATTAATCCGTCTTTTGTTTGTGGTGCTTATGTGGAAAAACTTAGAATTCAATCACCCTCGTTAAGCCAGTGAATTCTAGCTCTAAATTTCCAGTAATCATTATCCATCCTGAGGCAATTATTAAATTCAATCTTAAGGTTTGCCTCTAGATTGGTCAAGAAAAGGTTGTCCATAAGCCTTGAAATTTTCAATACCATTAAGCCTTGCTAAAAGATTATTTTTCTTTTTGGAAAGGTTCACAAACGTGTTAATATTCCATCTAGTAATAGTATCTTTAAAGCTTGTGGTTGCCTTTGTAAAATCATTGTTAAGCCAACTTTTTTTTTACAATGGTAGCAAAATCAGGATGGCCAGTCCAAAATATTTCTAACCTGAAGGGCTTTGGTAGGAAGTAGTTATTTTTAGGGATTAATTCTAGTTTAATGGGGTTATGATCTGAGTGTGTTTTAGGTAGGTGAATTACGGAAGCTTTAGGGAATATGTTAATCCAGGATTCATTAGCAAATATTTTATCAAGTCTTTCCATTATGCGGCTAGAATTTTGTTTCCTATTATTCGACCAAGTAAATTTACACCCTTTGAAACCTAAGTCTAGCAGCTCACATTAGTTAATCTTATTCCAAATTTTAGAAGCACGTCTCCTATTAACAGGATTGCCACCATGCTTTTCATTGGCCTTTAAAACATCATTAAAATCCCCCCCCCCCCCCCCACCA